AAGAAGAAGAAGAAGAAGAAGAAGAGAGAGAGAGGAGAGAGGGAGAGAGAGAGAGAGGGAGAGAGAGAGAGAGAGAAAGAGAGACCATTTGATCAAGAAAACAGGAACCGTATCTCTGCAACATGAGAACCACACCAGATTTTTTAAAAAGCTAAAGAAAGAGAGAAAAAAAATCCACCTTTTCACTTCCATGAGAGCCTAACAAAGCATGATTGAAGGGGGCGGCACCAATAGGACCAGGGACCCACTAAATCTCAATCACGCATCATGCATAACAGTAACAAACCTTATTCCAACCATTTCCAGATACCCAACAAAAAAATCGACCATTTCAGTTTGCCTTGAACCAAAAAGATAACTAAATCTCATTAAAAGATGGTATTTTGCTACATTTTTACTTGCCTTTCTGGGAAGAAGAAGAAGGGCTCTTACATAGAACCAGGGAAACTCCATTGCTGGACCCTCTCATAAAGTTTTTTTTTCTCTAAATAGTAACTGTCACTAAAGAAGAATGCAGAAATTTTGGAGCTTAGAAGCTGTATTTTAATGGCGGTCTACAAAGACCGGGTCTTCTTATAAACCTCAGGGGGTTTAAACGGTAAATTGGAGATAGCATTTGTATGTAACAGTGAAAATGACTAAATTACCACCAACAAATGATAAATGGCAAATGTTTCCAACTTTATGGAAAGTATGAAAAAGCCCCTTCCAAACGACGGAAATTATTCTTGTGTTTCCAAATTTAGAGAAGTATCAAAAAGCCCCCTTCCAAATAAGTGAAATTATTCTTTCTTTTCCCCCGGCGAATATGTAACCTCTCGAACTCTTGTCAAGTTGGAACTAAACGCCCAAATATATAAGGGATCCGGTTAAATCAAAATTAGTTCAAATTTGAATTAAATGAAAATAAATATTTTTAATAGTAAATAAAATATATAAATAATAATATAAATCTAAACGAGCAATGATCTTGTGAGACCCTCTCACATCCATGTGTGTGTAGGACCTCAAAGGATCACAATTCATTTTGACACAAATCTCCAAAAAAGTTATCACATGAATGTGGGATTTGACTTTTTTAAAGATCTATGCTAAATTAACAGTGATCCTTTAGAGTCCTACACACATGGGTGTGAAAGAATCCCATAAGATCAGTACTCATCTAAAATATATCATAGCATAAACTATAAAAGGTGCGGTTGGTATCGAGCCGAGGCTCTAAACAATCAAAATAAAATGTACCTTCAAAAGTTTCAAGAAAATGTGGTTTCAATACTGGAAATCTTTGTGATAAACTTAAAATATATTTTATCTCTAATTATAAAATTTAAAACTTCAAAAATAGTGTATATCGAGCAGATCTATGAAAAATTTTAAATCTTGAATGTTGACTATCCAGAAATGCGTTACAAGATGCATTATTTTCAAAATTTGAAAATCTTTTTTTTTTTTTTATGTTCGTGCATCTTGATGTCGAGATAATCAATTTGATGATATTTAGGCATCAAAACAACCTCTTCTAGTGAAATTTTTGAGGTGAGCTCTAATTTGATAATTTAGAGCCTCGACAATATATAAAAGTTTTCCTAGTATAAATTACCCAACCTGATTTTGTAATTTCCGTTTTAAAAAATAGTGTGGTGTGATTGGTCAAATGTTGATTTTAAACTGTTTTGGAACTATTTTGGATTGTATTTTCAAATAAAGCTTGTCAATATATAAGTCAATAGTCCAATCGATTGGACTAACTAATCCAGTTTTACGAGTATTGACATATAAGTAATAAGTCAGTCCAACCGATTGGACTAACAAATTCAGTTTTGCTAGCATTGAGTACACAAATATATGTGTATCCAAAAAATCATGATCCAAGAATGGTGGTTGGATTTTACAACGGTCCAATTTATGTCACAAAAATGAGGGTGGAGTACATCCAAATGAAAATAAATAAATAAATGGTGATATGATTCAAAGGTTAGTTGTGGCTTATAGAAGACTTCAATTTTAAACAATTAAAGTAAGATACACCTCTAAATCGTGTAAAAGATGTTTTGGTTTGGAAAACCTCGACCGTGGATGGAAAATTTATTTCTATCCTAATTATGAAATTTAAATCTAAAACTATAGTGTAATATCACAGAGATAAAAAACAATTGAAAATGTTGAAAAATAATAGTTCAATATTGTGTTACAATTTGTATTATTTTTAGGATTATTTTTTAACTGCTATGCATTATTTTTAGGACTTTAAATTTTATTTTTATTTTTTCTTTTTTTCCATATCATATATCTCAAGGTCACGATTATCAATTTGAGGGTTTTCAATAGTGCAATAATAATTCCCGGTGTTATGTACGGTGTCTTACCTTTATATTATAAAGTTAATGCTTTATATAAACTTTTTCCCTTAAAAAAAGTTGCTAAATAAGCACGCAATAGTGTAAATAAATGTTTTTTTTTTTTCATGAAATTTTTACCTTTTGATAAAATAAATAGTATATTTTAAGAAACACCCAACGAGTTATCCTCTTTTTCAAATATTTTATGTTTGTACTTATAATTCCCTTTTTTCTAGATTTGTGCTTACACCAATTTGCAAAAATTACTTGTCATCATCAATATGAAACCGGGGCCGCTAACTCCTTGTATTTTCTATATTTTCGACCTTGTGCAAAATAGGGAGAAAATATTGATATTGCCCTTGGAAAGTTAGCTCTCCATGTTTTTCTTTTTCTAGATTCTCATGGCTATCTTTTGGGGGCAATGGTTGGGTTAGGCTTGATAGACCGTTTACTTTTAGTAAAATGTGGCTACAATCTATTTTAGCTGTTGGATGTAAAATTGAGTAGCTAAATAGCTAAGAGTACCGCATTAATTAGAATCAGTGTCAAAATAAATTTTTTTAAGCATTGTGATATACCCCAAATTTAACTTATATAAGTGATGATGACCTCTTTGTATCAAAGATTAAATGATCTTATAGTATACAATCTACTAACAATTTGTGTTTAATAAACTAAAAAAATTGTGAAAAACTTTGCATCAGCACATCCGTTAGATGTCAGCAAGGGATGGATTGGGAATCGTCACAACTCTCCCCAAAGGTATTTCATGAAATTTGAGTGGGGAAATAACACACTCTAGCCATCCACTATTTTCACATCCAATGGCTTATAACCTTCATTTTGTTGTAGCATACACACCCCCAAAAAAAGTTAGTGAATGCATTAAGGAAAATGTTTATATAAGGTTGCAACCTCAAAATGTAGAATCCAGGGGCATCTAAAAATTCTATCATAAAAGGTTGTTTTGAAGTTGGAAAGCTCTCTAATTAATCATCTCCACATCGAGATATATGAATGTGAAAAAAAAGATTTAAAGTCTAAAACATAGTGCACCTCGTAATACATTATCTGGACCGTCCATTTTCAATTTTTTAATGTGTTTATAGATTTACTTGATTTGAACAATTTTTTAAGTCTAAAATTTTAAAACTAGAGATGATAATGGATTCTCAAACCATCCTAAAAAAATTTTACACCAAAATTACATCTTATGACAATTTGGTTGGTACACCTTACTTTAATTATTTAATATTGGAATCTTTTGCAGACTACACCCATAAATAAATAAATAAAAGCAAGCCTAGATCGCCTTGGTTTGACTTGCATCGCAAATATTGAGAATTTGAACATAATTTTTTCAAATTGGGTATCTCATCGCTAGACCAAAGGCCATTACCCTTATAATAATAATGAAATATAAGTTACACCTGGTAGGGGTAGCACCTCCTCATGTCCTATGCCATTGTGAATGCTAACAAAGTGCTAAAACAATTATGTACAATAACGTTGAGCATATTTCTCGATTTAGGTTTCAAAATAAGTTTCCCTTATTGGAGTTTTCCTTGAGGTAGGTAAGTGGGCACTCAAACTGAACAACCACTACCAAAAAGCATAAACATTACTGCCTTTTCAACCCAAGGAGTTTGAAAATTGAAGTAAAATCCAACTAAAAATAGCACAGCGGATAAATTTTTAGGGTTTCCATAAAAGGTCATATGTTTAACAATGTTGGAAAATTGGAACCGGACCCGACTGAGTTCTTTTGATTCTCAGTTGATTTCCAAGTCAGACTGGGCTGCATTGACAAAGATATTTTAAAAATAGAAAAATTTGGAAGAAAAGTGATTTTGAAGATTTTTATCAATTTATATTTGTCCAGCCCTTAGTTTCATCCAACTCGGACTAATTTTTGAGACGGATCGGCGATTTTTAAAATACTTTAGAGGTTCCAAGAGAACCCGTAAAAAGGCTTATATGGCTTCCTTCCGGATTCAATAGCCGGAAAGGGGGAGAGTTATAGTGGCCAGAATAGTGTCACATTTTCTAAAGGATGTGGGGGTCTTTTATGATTCATAAACAAGGCTTGGACGCTTATGTCAATTTCGCAAAGCATGGGGCATGTGGAAAAACAATTTGCCTTGAGAATGACATATATTGTCCGGCATGAAGATGACATCAAGGAGCCCCGGCTGTATAGCGAATTGAAATAATACGGCATAAATTAAATTATAGGAAAATGGTTTGATAGGGGAAGGGCCCTATCAAAATACGTAAAGCGCCCTCACAGCTCATAAAAAATTGCAAGTTGAAAAACTGTTATATCGATCGTCAACATTATGGTTGTATAGTGTATATTGCAACAAACCATATAGACAATCCATTTCGCCCTAAACATAAGTGTTCACAAATCCACAAGATTTATACTATTATCCATAATATTTGTATTATTTTTTTAGTTTTAATTTTATTGTCAAGGTTGAAAATTGATTTAAAAACCATCATGGATAATTATGTGGTCTTTCCATATGAGGATTTAAGGTGAAGCTTTATTTGGTTTTCATAGAGCCTAGGCCCTATAGAAACTTTAGCATGTTACGCTCATTATGTAGAAGCCAGGCCCATATCCAAAACTAGATATAAGGTTGTTTTGGTGCTAAAATCCCCCCTAATTGATTATTTGTACCTCATGATATATGAATGTTCAAAAAATTGTTTAATGAATAGTGCAGTTTGCAATGTATTATCTAATCAGTCTAATTTTATGACTTTTCAACTATTTATGGATCTTCTTGATTTACATTATTTTTTAAACTTTTGATTTCATAACTAGGGATGCAAATATATTTTTTGGCCATCATAGAGCCATATTGAAATGACATCTTTTAGCACCATTTGAAGATGTAGTTGACTTTGATTGTTTAATGCATCAACCTTATATAAACCAAACCCTTTATTTATTTGTTTTGTAAATAAGATTGATTTACAAAGGCGAGGTTTTGGCGAGTTTTCTAACTTGCATCTTTAGGTGAGTCCTCCCTCCA